TTCCCAGGAATTGCTCTGAAATGTCCCACTAAGCACTCTTCTCCCCCAGGCCCAGCCTCCCTGACTGCCCAGCTCCCATTCCTTCCTCCTCTGCACCGTGGCTGTTAGCACACCACTCACCCTCAGGTACTGTGTGCAGTCTTATACTCCAGCCTCCTGCGTGTGCATGTGCTTGTGCGATGTCTGTGTGAGTGTGTCTTAAATCTCCAACAAGCCTGTGAGCTCCCTGAGGGCAAGGGTCATGCCATTTTTCTTGAACCCAGCAGGGTCTGGCACGGGGCTGGGCTCAACACTAGCACATACTTGCTGACTGGCTGGGTCAAGTGCTGGAGGCTGGTGATGAGAGGTAGGAAAGGGGAGGGGCACGTGAACCCACTAGTGGGGGCATTTTATTGGGTTGTGGGCTGCCCTCCGGGGCAATAATGGCTATAGGAGGCCTCAGGTCCCATCCCTACTTGAGGCAGTGGGACAGGAGGGACACCCCCAACCCCCGCTGCCCCAGGCTTCTGAAGATTGCCTAAATGGTCATCCAGGCTGGATATGTCTGTAGGCCACGGACACCACAGGGGCTGACCGAGTGGAATAAATGGTCTGTTGGCATCAGTTGGTGTGCGGAGTGGTCATTGGGGTCTCAGCTGGGAGCAGGGCGGTGCCCCCCAGCGACCTCCATCATTTCCCGAGTCATGTTCAAGGTAGCATGGTGTCCAAGGGTTGTAGGAAGCATAACTCAAAAGGCTTAGCAATGAGTTAGCTGAGCCGCCCCATCTACTGTGGACAATGGCTGCTGCTTGGAGTTGGGTGATGTATGTGGGAGCCCCTTGAAGTAGCCCCTCTGCTCGCTCAGCCACAGTGAGGCCAGACCTGCTGAGTTCCTTCAGGCGATTCCCATCGGTCCCTGGGAGGTGGCTGATGAGCGCGCTGGAGCCGGAAGACTGCTTCCAGGGAGCCGGGCCGCGCAGTGTCTCCGAGGGCCACATGCTCAGAGCATCTTGCACATGTGAGAGGTCATGACCAGAGTCTCCTTTTGGAGGTTCTGTGCTGCTGGTCGCCTGCAGGCTCTCCGGGAAGTGGACGAAGGGCCTGTGGCAGCCCCTCACCAGTTTCTCCGAGCCCCCTGTCGACTGGAGACGACACAGAACCTAGTTCGGGGTCAAGGGTTGGGGTCTCGTCTGACTGTGTGGGCTTGACCAAGGTCCGTACCATTTGGGCCGCTTTCCTATCGTGAAGTAAGCGGCACAGACTGGCTGCCCTCTGAGGTTTCCCCCAGGTGTGAATTTCTGCAGACCCGACTACTTGGGGTGACAAGTAGAGACCATGTAGGCCAGTGATGGGCCATGTCCAAGGCCTCGTTAAATGTCAGCCAGGCCTGGTGCAGCTGAGTCCCCCTGGACGGCACTCCCCCCCACTCTGCTCCCCACGCTGGTCCTGTCACCAGCCTTGCTCCCTCGGACAGCAGCGAGCACCCCTCCTCTGGAGCAGAGGCCCTGGGCCCTGGAGCGGGATATTTCCCCATTTAGGCTGGAGCACTGCCGTTTCTAGCCGCAGCGGCAGTCACCTTGGACAGGCCTTCCTTGTTTCTGAAAGGTCATTGCACCCTTGCTGCTAAACCCGTGTAAAACCAACACCCAGCAGCACTCTTAGTAGTCTCCAACTAGGGGATTGGGATGCATTTCAAATGCAGGTGCTTCAGACCAGCATGTTAGCTGTTGTGGTGAGTAATAACCATTTTTTAAAAAATATATTTTATTGATTTTTTACAGAGAGGAAGGGAGAGAGATAGAGAGTTAGAAACATTGATGAGAGAGAACCATTGATCAGCTGCCTCTTGCACGCCCCCCACTGGGGATGTGCTCGCAACCCAGGTACATGCCCTTGACTGGAATCGAACCTGGGACCTTTCAGTCCGCAGGCCGATGCTCTCTATCCACTGAGCCAAACCGGTTTCAGCGAGTAATAACCATTTTTAAAGGGCTGATGTTAAGCGGAGCAGCTAGGGCCAGGGAGCTGAGATGTGGGAAGGACCTGAAGTTCCCTCCTGGGTGAGGGGCTGAGCTGGTCTTTCCCTTGGCATGGGAAACTCGGGGACAGGCAGTGTCCCCGAGGCTGGGTTTACAGCACACGGCTCCAGAGAGCCTGTTTATAGGAGCAGCGGGAACTGTGCCCACCTGTTGTTGGTGTGACTGGTCACTGTCCATTTTCCCAGCACAGCTGATGATGCTAGCGAATCTGGACAATCATATTACTGGAAATAAAATGTCTCAAAATAACATGTGGTGCACCTTAAATTTGTGCAATGTTGTATGTCAAATTTATTCAATTAAAGGAAAGAACCTAAATAGGCTGCCTATTGAAATCCCTCCAGACTTTTTGCAACAAATGCCAATGGGAGAGTGGCGCCCTCTAGTGCACACTTGGAGAACTGATGTCGAGTGAATTAGTAAAGAGGGCTGTTCCTCTGGTGCCCTGAGGCCTGCCTGCCACCTTTATAGTAGAATGTACCATCCGGGACCATGTAAATTGTCAGTAAATATTTGTTGAATGAATAAATAGAACAACGAGGTTGTTTGGAGTGCCCTGTGGAAGTGAGTCAAAAAAGCAGACGTGTAAAAGTAAATTGTCCCTTTAGGGACAGAATGAAGGTTGATGGCAATTATAGGGGACAAGAGAAAATTAGAGGCAAAAAAATTCAATGTGTTTTTTTTTTTTTTCCTTCTGGGTTTCAAGAGGAAATAAAAGGAAACACAGAGTAACTTTCCAAAGAGAATTAGCCAAAATGCCAGTAATAAAAGTTTGCTCATAAAACCCTAAAACATTCTAGAAGGGAGGAAGCTGGAAATTGGGTGATGCTGGCTGAGCCACCCACAGGACGAGAAAGAAGGCGTGTAGCAAGAGTTGGAAAACCCACCACCACCTCCTGTGAGTAGATCTTCAAAAGGTAGATGTTATGGAGAACTTTAACACTTACTGGACATTTGATAATACAGAATTATTATTATTTTTTATTTATAATTAGGTTACTGTGCTTATCTTAATGAAAGAATCTTTACCTTTTCAGAGATACATACTGAAGGAAATACTATATAGGATTTTCTTGAAAATGGTTGGGGGGAATTGGACCCCACTGCTGAAGTCTAGACAACTTGAATTTGAATGAGAGGAAAGTGGGGCCCATTATACACTCTCCTCTCTACTGTTGCCGTGTGTTAGAAAGTTTCCATAAGAAGTGCAAGGATATCCTTCTAGCCGTTGGAAAATTCCCTCTGTAATCTCTTATATAAAAGGCCCATGGCTGTCATGACCAAATGAGCAGCGGCTCTCTCGGTGGGTGGGGCGGCGAGCTGCGGCAAGTGGAAGTGAGCTACTTGCACACGGTTTTGTGTGCGCTGGGCCTCTAGGACATTTATAAAAGCCAAAATGTTAGTGAGGGAAGGGAAAAAGTTCGAGGATGCGTTATTTATTTATTTATTTTAAAAGCAAAGTTTCTTTCTTTTTTCAGATAAAGTGAAGAGTAATGTATAGATCAAAGAATATAAACTTTATTAATCTTTATTAAAATTTTTTAAATATATTTTATTGATTTGATCAGCTGCCTCCAGCACATCTCCCATTGGGGATGTGCCCGCAACCCAGGTACATGCCCTTGACCGGAATCGAACCTGGGACCCCTCGGTCCGCAGGCCGACACTCTATCCACTGAGCCAAACCGGTTTCGGCTTTATTAAAATTTAAAAAAAAATCCAATTACAGTTGACATACAATATTATATTCACTTCAGGTGTACACCATAGTGGTGAGACATTTATGTAATTTACAAAGGGATTCCACCCCCCTCCCCATAAGTCTAGTACCTGCCTGACACATACAGTCATTACAATATTATTGACTATACTAGAGGCCCCGTGCACAGGATTTGTACACTGGTGGGGGGGGGCGTGGCCAGCAGGGATTGCCCGGCTGCTCATTCCGGTCAGCCAAGTGACTGTGGACCCGCCCTCTGAGCGGCTGCTCCCTGGTCTGGCATCTTCCGTGGAGCCAGAGCACTTGCCTCTCCAGGGACCTGGTCATGGCCGGGCCCAGGGACAATAGCACTGAGAGGTGGCAGAGTAGGCCTCAGTCCTGCAGCGGCCATGAACCCGCCTCCCAGCCTCTGGGGTCAGCTCTGCCAACCTGGCGACAGCGGTGCTGTGTGGCCTGCGGGTGTCTGGAGGAGGCGGCAGCGGCAGGGAGCGAGGAGGAGGAGCCTGGGGCGAGGAGGCCATGATTGCAGCCCAGGTTCCTGCCTGTCGCCCCAAGTTCACAGTGGGAGCAGCTGCTCATCCCTGACAGCGGAGCGGCCCTCCCACTGTGGTAGCACACTGACCACCAGGGGGCATAGCTCCTGCGTTGAGCATCTGCTCCCTGGTGGTCAGTGCACATCATAGCGACTGGTTGACCGGTTGTTGTGGTCATTCCATCGTTCAGTCACAGGCTTTTATTATATAGGATTCCCTATTCTGCATTTTACATCCCTGCGTGCTTGCAGCTGATTTGAAGTTTAGGTTTTGAGCCGTTTCCTTTGGTCCAAGAGGTTGTGATGGCCGGGAAGGGGCAGGCTGAGAGGACCGCTTTGCTTTGACACCTCCCCCGGCTTTTGATTTCCTTCCTCCTCTCCCAGGGAGGCTACAAAGCAAAGCTTCCCATTTTCCGAGATGGTGACGTGCTCTCGCTTATGCCTTATTATGCTTGGATACTTTTGAGGAGGTTTAAACATGCTTTTAATTTGTTTGACTTTTAGTTGTTTTCAGTGGGAAGGTTGGCATGAATATCTTATGGGAAACAGGAATGTTTTCGGCTCCTCTGCCTGCCCCATGTCCAGTGTCTCAGACTCAGTGTCCCCATGCCGAAAACGCCAGCCTGTCACAGCCCAGGCCCCATGACGGCTGTGACCCCAGACTGTTCCTCAGCCAATCAGCCGGGTGACGCTAGCCTTCATGTGACTCAGAAAACGCTGTCCCTTCTGCAGGTTAAAGGTTTAAAAAGAAGCACATTATTCCTTAATAATAATTATTGTAACAAACAAAGACTCTGTTTGAATAAGACATTTAATTCCACCAGGAAATTGTCAAAATAAACACATTTAGTTAGAAGACACTTTACTGCCATCTACCCAAACTGTGGTGACCACATATTTCCTGTCTTTGAAGTAAAACAACATGTAACAACACGTGACAGATGTCTGGCTATGATTAACACGTCGTTGCGGTGGCAGCTGGAACGATTGTAATAGGAGCCCTGAATTCGTCTTTTAACAATTATTTTATTGTTTCTATCTCCTAATTGTATCACCAATCGGTTCTCCTTTCCACCATCCACGTTCACTGTCACTGTATTAGTTCATGCCCTTATTTCTAGCTTGGATGGTTGCAGTAGCCTGTAACTGGTCCTTCTACCTCCATTCCCACCCCGAACCCCCCCAACCTAACAGTCAAGCTGCTCTAGCACCCTGGATGCTGTGGCATTTGCCATTCTCTCTGCTGGAGGGTCCTTTGCAGGGAAATTCCTTCGTGCTCTCCAACTCTAAGGGCAGGATAGAGTCCCTGAGTACGTCTTCTCCTGATCGTCCCTCCATTGTCGGACCACAGTTCACAGTGGTTTCTGGGTTTGTTTCTAAGTCTGTTTCTCCACTTGGTTGTTACTCCACCTGGTAAGGCTTGCAGAGCTCCCTTTTGCTCCCATGCAGCCTTGGACAATCATGACCACATGTTACATAGGGTTAGTCTCTTTTCTCATCATGTGACCGAGCTCCTTGAGTTGGGGATTGGTCTTGTGAGTCTTTGGCAATGAACCCACTGAATCAATACATTGCCGACATCTGGTGGCCTCCACCTTATTAGGTGCCTGAGGTCCAGCCCCTCTCCCTCCTGCCCCCAGAGTCTGGGAGCGGGTGAGAGGAGGGTGTTGAGTGAGTGCTGACCTAATTCTGTCCTTGTTAAAGCCACTGGGGGACAGGAAGCCCCCGTCCTTCCTTACATCAGGGCTGGGCCAGAATCAGAGGCAGCCTTCCTTGTGCAAAGTTAATTATTCCAAAGCCGATGTACAGGAAGATCATTTAGCCAAATGGTCAAATCCGCACATAGCCAACTTGCTAACTCATTGAGGAGTTATTTGAAGCTTTGGCTTGATTCAGAGTGCTCCCCAAACCCTTAACGAGTGAGCTTTTTTTAAAAAAAATTTTTTTTATTGATTTCAGAGAGGAAGGGAGAGGAAGAGAGAGATAGAAACATCAGTGATGAGAGAGAATCATTGATCGGCTGCCTCCTGCACGCCCCCTACTGTGGATCAAGCCTGCAACCCAGGCATGTGCCCTTCACTGGAATCGAACCTGGACCCTTCAATCTGCAGGCTGACGCTCTATCCACTGTGCCAAACTAGCTAGGGCAACGAGTGAGCTTTTCTTAACTCAGTTTACTGTCTTGTCTATTTTGGGGACATGCAATCCCACTAGGCCTGTCACTCTGCCACTGAACCAACTCTCTTCTAGGGGTGACACAGCTGGGGTGAGCCACCACGGCTGGTGGAAGGGCGTGGTCTGATCTTGTCATGAATTGAGTTGATGCCCGAGGGTGGAGCTTTCCAGGACACAGTCCTCCTTCCTAAGGGGCGGGGGGTAAGTGGGGTGGGGAATGGGAAGAGGCTTTGTCAGTGTCCCACCAAGGGGTAGCCCCTAGACCCAAGCCCTGGGTGGGCAGTGACAGCTTTCCTTCAGCTTCCTAACAAGACCTGCCCAGGAGAAGGTGCCCCTCTGGGGATGGAGCAGCCCCTCAAAGCCTACTCCTCCTTCCTGCAGGTTTCAGAAAGCTAAGCACCACCTCTGACATTTCAAAGACCAACCCTGGTGTGAAAGTGTGAGGTCCAGTTCACGGAATGGCAGTCTCTGCATCACAATGACAAGTCCACTCTCCTGGATGAACCCCGAGGACATGACACTAGCAAAAAAGCCAGTCTTGAATGGACAAACACAACATGAAGTCTCTAAGGCCATCAGAATCACAGAAACAGAAGTAGGAAGGAGGTTAGGGGCTGGGGGAAGGGGAGGGGGGAGTCGTGTCTAACAGGCGTGGAGTTCCAGTGTTGAAAGGAGAGCAGGTTCTTAGCTCTTTGCACAACCACGTGAGCGTGCTCCACACGGCTGAACTGGGAACCTAAAAATGGCTAAGACGGTCCACTTAATGTGTTGGTTTTTATTTTTACCATCCTATATAATAAAAGGCTAATATGGAAATTGACTGAACAGCAGAATGACTGGTTGCTATGACACGCACTGACCACCAGGGGGCAGTTGCTTAATGCAGAAGCTGTCCGCTGGCGGTCAGTGTGCTCCCACAGGGGGAGTGCTGCTCAGCCAGAAGCCAGGCTCATGGCTGGCTGCAGCAGTGGTGGTGGGAGCCTCTCCCGCCTCCGCGCCAGCACTAAGGATGTCCGACTAATGGCTTAGGCCCGCTCCCCATACGCCATCAGTCGGACATCCCCTGAGGGCTCCCAGACTGTGAGAGGACGCAGTACGGGCTGAGGGACACTCCCCTCTGAGTGCACAAATTTTGTGCACCGGTCCTCTAGTAGTGAAATAAAACTTGAAAAAGTCTTGCTCCGTGTTCAACCTCTTTCTGTCCCAGGAAGCGTTGGGACACTGTGGCCTCTCACAAAGCATGCATGGTCCGGCATGGGAAGCGCTCTGCTAGCTGGGGAGGGAATGCTTTGCCTGGGAAGCAGCTTTCATCTGAGGGCCTGAGCTGCTCCGGCCAGGGGTTTCAGGGACGCCTTCCTGGAAGAGGAGTGAGGGATTGTTACCAGCGCTGGGAAGGCTGCTTCAGGGTGGACAGAGGTTGGGGAGCTGATGGTGGGAACAGTGTCTTCATCGAAGCCCCTAAAGGTGCCATTGTTTCTGTCCTCAGAGGCAGGAAGCCGCCCACATCGCCTGCTTCGCCCTGAGCCCGATGAGCCCTCTCTAGGGACCCTCTGCCGCTCCGCCTGGGGCCCAGGCCCAGACCCTCTCGTGTGCCCTCCAGCCTCGCATTCTGCAGCTGCACCCTGGGAGGCGTGTGCCCTCCCTCCCCGCCCCGCCTGCCCCTGCCGCGTCACCGTGACCTGGCACTAATTCTGAACTTCCCCTGTGCCTGCATTTGTGCTTCTGTTGCTGCAAAACCGAAACCCACATCGCCGTACTTCTTCCTCCTGGGGAGCGCAGTTTATCAGGAAGACCTTGCAGAGCTGGTCCTGCCCTGCTTTCCTGTTTTCCCGGCCTGAGGCCCCTCAAACCACCCTCTTTAGGGTTCTGGTTGCCTGAGAGGAACTAGCAGCTGCTCCCACCTGCCAAGCAATGGAGCAGGCCTGTTGTGGAGGCTCTGAGACCGAGGCCGGCCTGGGGACAGGACCAAGGTATGTGTGTGCAGATATGGGCCTGCACCACCAGGACGCCAGCCCAGAGAGGGGCAGGAGCCACCTGGAGGGTGTGGTCTCTGGGCCTCTGGGATGGTTCCTCCTTATTCAGCGCTGGTCTTCCCAGCCTGGGGCATGGGGTGGGGTGGGGCAGAGGCCCCCCTTCCTGGGAGGAGGCTGATCCAGGAGGGGATGCTCCCCCCAAGGCTGGGGTGAAGGCCTAGTGGGAGGGGGAGGGAAAGGGAAGTGGATGGGGCCCCATCGTGAGGAATTGTGCTAGCAGCAGCCCCCCTACCCCCAGAAGCTGGGAGTTTGGACCCTGATCTCCCACATTCACCTTTAGAATATCCCCCAGCCTTTGCACACTTCCGTTTCTAATACCTGGTCACTGGCGGTAGTGAGTGTTTGCAGAAATAATATTTCCGATTTCACCTACATTTAAGCCACCTGGCCTTATCCCACGAATGCTTGGGATGACTGAGCTGTGGGCTGGACGGCGTCCTCCCCGGCCCAGCTCTGGAGGCCTCCCTGACCAGTGGGTGTGAACTGCCTAGGGAGGGGGGAATCCCTGAGCCCCGGAAGCTCTGTCTGGATGCCTGGAGCCACGTCCCCCTCCAGCTGACCCTTGAGAAGAAGGTGGAGGCTGCTCAGAGCCTTGACTAGAGTTCTGAAGGAAAGCTTTCTGCCTTTGTTCTCTCTCCATTGCTCTGCTGGGGTCTCCAGAGGGCCTGAGAGAAGGTCAGAGGGAATGTGGGTTGTAAAGGTGAGAGGGCGGGAGAAGGGAGTTTTGATTTCCTTTTGTCCTTTAAAGTATTTTCTATATTCTTGGGCGAAAATGGTACAGGCTGGGCAATCATATGAATGGGGAGAGAGAGAGAGAGAGAGAGGGAGAGAGAGAGAGAGAGAATGAATGAATATGAATCAGGCCTCCTGGGCTGGAAAGAGTTCAGCAACATCATTTGGTCACACAATGCTGGGAAACCATGTAAAACAGTGATGCTTACTTGGCAAAGAAATTCCTTTCTCCTTCACACCTGCTGGATGTCTCTGCTTATTTACCCACTGGTGCTCATTGTTGCTGTTGTTAATCCTCACCCGAGGTTGTTTTTCCATTGATTTTTAGAGAGAATGGAAGGGAGGGGGAGAGACAGAGAGGGAAACATCCATGTGTTTTCTCCTACTCACAGGGGTCGAGCCTGTAACCAAGGTACGTGCCCTTGACTGGAATTGAACCTGGGACCCTTCAGTCCTCAGGCCAACACTCTCTCCACTGAGCCAAACCAGCTAGGGCTGCACTGGTGCTTTTTGAAAATTAATGCACGAAAACAATACCACTTCACTAGCTTGGGATACAACATACAGTTACTTCTGTTATTAGTCAAAGTAACATCACTTCAGTCTTCCTTTGTACTTGTAAAAACTGTTTCTTTCCTCACATGCCACTCATGATCACTCATTTAACACCATTAATTGAGCATATACAGGCATGGGAAAAAATAGGTTTACTGTTGTGAGTAGGCAAAACACAGAGTTTTTTCTTGTATGATTATTCATGAATTATTGTATTACTAGAGGCCCCGTGCATGAAATCTGTGCACGGGTAGTGTCCCTAGGCCTGGCCAGCGATTAGGGCCAATAGGGGCTTCCCTTCCCCCAGCTGCCAGCTGCCAGCCCGGGCCTGCCTTTGTTCTGCCCCACCCCCTGGTGGTCAGCGCACCTCATAGCAAGTGGTGGAATTCACTCCTATTTGGAAGGTTGGCTGAGAGACTGAGTGTATTAGTTTCTTGCTGCTGTAACACATTGCCACAAACTGAGTCACTAAAACCCCCACAGACTTATTATTTTGGAGTTCTGGGGGTTGGATGTCTTAAAAAATCAAGGCATTGAGCAGGACTGTGATCCTTCTGGGGCCTCTCTGGGAGAATCTGTTTCCTGGCCTTTCCCAGCTTATAGACTCGGCCTCCGCCATCAAAGCCAGCAGGGCAGCGTTTTCAAATCTCACTCTCTGATCCTCCCAGCTGTTTTCACATCTTTTTCTCACTCTGACTCTCCTGCCTCCTTCTTATAAGGACCCCTTATAATGTGCTTACACTGGGCCCACCTGGATGATCCAAGATTCTCTCTCTGTAACCAGGCAACCAGTGGGTCCAGGCTGCCAGTTAAGCAGAGACAGGGTTGAATCATATATGAGCAGTTATTCCAATAATGCTGGCAGTATGGGAGAGCAGCAGATCATCCACAAAAATATGCTCTACTCCTCCCCATAAGCCAGCTGCTTATACTGGGTAGAAGGACAAAGATTATATAAGAAAGGAGGAATTACAGGCATGGGAAAGCAGGCAACACATAACGGTTTCAGGATACAGGGAATGTGGGCTGGGGGTGGGGTGTTGTAGAGGGTGGGTGCCTCCAGGACCAGATTGTCTTAGCAGCAAGGTTGTTAATCTAGGCAATTCTCTGAAAAGGAGGGCGGACTGCATTCTGATGTTAACTCCCATGTCCCAGGTGTGCAACTCTCAGCGAGGTTAGAATGTGCTTCCTCTAATCAGGACAGAAGGATCACGATGAACAGAGCATGGTTAATATTTCTTGTAATCATAGCTAATTCACAATATTCTATTTCCGCCCCTACCATCTCCACTGGAAGATCCCCATTACATTGGCAGAATCCCTTTTACCACTAAAGGTAATGAAGTCATAGATCCCGGGATTAGTGCATGAACACATCGGGGGGAGAGGGGCAGGCATTATTCTCTCTGTCACAGAGAGTGTCTAGTTTCTTCCAGCATGTAGGTGGGTAATGTGTGTAAAGAAGGGCTTGTCAGTTTAGCCCATCTACAGTGATTGACATTTTATCAACATGGATTTATTTCACAAACAAGCGTGCGGAGAAGGTCCTACCTAGTAAACATGATTCCTTGTTCCAGTCTAGTCTGAGTCTAGCACTCCAGTAGCCTAAGTCCTAAGGGGGAAAATTTGAGTCAAAGAGAACACACTGCTGTGGCTGGTGTGGCTCATTTGGTTGGGCATCGTCCCATGCACCGGTTCAATTCCCAGTCAGGGCACATGCCCGGGTTGCAGACACAATACTCAATAGGGGGCATGTAGGAGGCAGCTGATGGATGTTTCCCTTTCACATCAGTGTTTTTCTCTCTCCCCCTCTCCCTTTCTCTCTGTCTAAAAGTCAGTAAAAATCTTAAACAATAAGAGAGAACACATTTTCTTGCTGCTCCTCTGTTAACTCTGCATGTGAGTTGAACCTTGATGTGTTGCTCTTTGTTCCAACAGGACCAGCAGGAGCCTGTGTCAGGAGGATGCTGCGGAGCAGGGCTGCTCCCCGGGGCCACTGAGGCTTCTTCTCGTAGGGAAGCATGGGGCAGGAAAAAGTGCCACAGGAAACACTATTCTGGGCAAAAAGGTGTTCCTGTCCAGATTCAGTGGGAAGATGGTGACTGAAACGTGCCAGAGAGAGAGTGGGACCATGAGAGGGGAGGAGGTTGTGGTCATCGACACCCCCGACCTTTTCTCCTCAACGGCTTGTGCCAAAGACAAGCAACGAAACATTGAACACTGCTTGAAGCTTTCTGCCCCCAGCCTGCATGTCCTGCTTCTGGTGATCCCCATCGGCCACTGTAACGTGGAGGACAGAGAGACAATCGAGGGCGTCCTGAAGGTGTTTGGAGCGGAAGCCAGGAGGTACATCATTATCATCTTCACTCGGAAGGACGATTTGGGTGATGACTCCATGAAAAATTACCTTCTACACGACCGATTGCTTGGAGGGCTGGTTGAAAACTGTGGACACCGCTACTGCTTGTTCAACAACAAGGCAGGTGGGGCTGAGCGGGACAGCCAGGTAGCAGAGCTCCTCTGCATGGTCAAGCTTTTGGTGGATGAGAATGGAGAACCCTACCCCGTGAATTTCAACAATGAAGGCAATGGATTCCAGGTGAGAATTCTCGTTAAGGCCTCCAAGGATCTCTGTGTTGTTAGAGAGAGTGGGATGAAGATGGGCAGAGACATGTGAAAAGGTTCAAAGGTCTTGTTTAAGGGGATATCTACACTAATAAAAGAGAAACATGCAAATTCACCATCACTCCGTCCCTCCGCCACTCTGCTACACCCACCAGGCAATCAGGAGTGAGTATGCAAATTAACCCAACTAAGATGGTGGTGGCCACAGAGCTGGAGTGAGCAGGAGGCTTGGGTTGCTCCCAGCGATGGGAGGAAGCCAAGCTTCCTGCCTGCCCTGGCCAGCCCTGGGCTCCACTCAAGGCTACAAAGCTTCAATTATAGAAGATAAATAAATCCCAGATACCGGCTTCCAGCCTGCCCTGGCCTCTGCTCAAGGAGGTGCTGAAAAAAAAAAAGAAAAAAGAAAAAAAGGAGAGGCCGGGAGCTTGGGTTGCCGGGGCGCGGCAGGGGGGGGCTGGGTAGCTAGCCTGAAAACGGCCATCAGCCCCTCACCCAGGCTGGCCAGGCATACCAGTAGGACCCCCACCCTGATCTGGGACACCCTTCAGGGCAAAACAGCCGGCGCCCACCCATGCACCAGGCCTCTATCCTATATAATAAAATGATAATATGCAAATTGACCCTAAAGCAGAACGACTGGGAATGACTGGACATCCCCCGAGGGTTCCCAGGCTTCCAGAGGGATTTCTGACTGCCAGCTTAGGCCCAATCCCCCTGGGGAGTGGGCCTAAGCCAGCAGGTGGACATCCCCCGAGGGGTCCCAGACTGTGAGAGGGCACAGGCCAGGCTGAGGGACCCCCCCCTCCCCCCGAGTGCACACATTTTTGTGCACTGGGCCTCTAATTTATTCATATTCTGGAAAGATAAGGCACCAGATGGTAGGTTACTTTCTATATTAACCTTTGGATTTTATTGGTAAATTTATTGGTAAATTAAGTCCTTGCCTGACTTTACCCTTCATAGTTTTGGACACAAATGACTCATTAGACCCCCTTGGCTTCAATAAAACTATCCTTCTCTCTCTCTCTCTCTCTCTCTCTCTCTCTCTCTCTCTCTCTCTCTTCCCTCCCTGCCCCTATCCTTTCTGGCCACTCTGGGGATTGCTGAGTCCTCCTCAAATGAGCTCTAAAGGTTGGCATCTACAGGGCTTGGTCCTAGCCTGTCCTCAATTCTCTACACGCTCCCCTGGGTGATCCCATATTTCACGGCTTTGACCTCCATCTCTTTCTAACAGTTTCCAGATTAGTAGCCCTAGTCCAGGTCTCTCCTCTGAGTTCTGCCTCCATTATCCAATTGCTACTTGACACCTCCACTGGGCTCTCTTATAGGACCCCAGACTTAACATGTCCAAACTTCCAGTTTTCCCTCTTAAATCTGTAAGATTTCTGTTTTCCTCTCAACTTGGTAAATAGTTGTGCTGCTTACTACACTCTTCAAACACAAACCCAGGAATCAGCTTTGGTACCAAAGCTAGCACCTGCTGCCCAAGAAAGCCTCAAGCCTGTGATCATGCACCTGGCACCCACCTGCTTCTCTCCACCTCCACAGCCACCATCGGGTACGAGACAGCCTCTTCTCTTGCCTGTACTATTTTACAGATAATCTACTAGCAACTTTCCCCTCATTCATTCTTGGGCCTTATATCCCCACCCATTTGACACAGAACAGCCAGAGTGACCTTTTATTTACTTATTAAACTTGAATGAAGAATGTATTCAGAACTAAGGAAGGGAAGCTTTTGCCTCTGAGGAGCTTATACTTCAACTAGAGTGACTTATGCATAAGGAACAAAGTAATCATTGATTCAGTGTAACTAAGCGAATGTTGGTATAGAGAATTCTATAAATATAGGTGCCGGAGAAGGTAAAGCAAACAAAAATTCAGCATGGGGGCCGCCGGGTTCGAGAGGATCTTCTTAGAGCTGATGGCCATGGGAGAGAAGTCAGTACTTATTGAGCACCTACTAAATTCCAGACGCTTACATGAACTGATTTAGTCTTCACAGCAACTCTATGCACAGAAATTCTACAGATGAGAACCCTGAGGCTCAAGAGTTCTGAATAATATGTATCTTCAGGGACCGCTGTGAGGAGTAAATGAAATGCTTACAAAGTAATTTGCAAATACTTGAAACTGGGTAAATGTTCAATAATTATAAGCTGCTATTATTATGATTGTTATTATTATAATAAAAGTGTATGAGGTCCAAATAAATTATGGAGACATTAAGGATTTAATAATCCAGCCCAGTCGGTGTTTCTCAGTGGTTGAACGTTGACGCATGAACCAGGAGGTCACTGGTTCGATTCTCAGTCAGGGCACATGCCTGGGTTACGGGCTCGATCCCCAGTAGGGGCTGTGCAGGAGGCAGCCAATCGATGTTTCTTTCTCATCGATGTTTCTATCTCTCTATCCCTCTCCCTTCCTCTCTCTAAAATCAATAAAACATATTTTAAAAAAGGATTTAATAATCCATAGATGGAGTGAAGATTCCCACTTTTAGGACTCTAGCACCAAGACATAAAAATATATGAAGGTGTTTGGACAAGGACCTTTATCACTGAATATTTTGAAATAGTAAAACCAGAAATAGCCTGTAGGTCTATCAATAAAGGAAGGATTAAAAAGGAGACATATGTAATACCCTTTGTAATACTTTAGGCAATAAAACTAAAAATAAAAGAAAATAAAATAAAAAAAGGAAGGATTGCATTAGTTTAAATGGTTGCATATGGAACTAATTTCATCTACTTGTGTAGATGTACAGACATATTATTAAGCTGATTGCAGAACAAAAAAGCCTAATAAGTCTCTCTATGTGTTCATATATGCTTGCATGTATTTGTGTAAAGATAAGAAAACATAGAAGGATATACAAGTTAACAGCTTACTTTTCTGGTGGATTGGTGATGGAAAAATTATTAAATTTTAGATCATACACATTTGCATGGTAACAATCGTTTGGATTAAAATAAATAAACATGAAAGAATTTGAGCTGGGCTGTGGAAGGTGGAAAAAGTCTGATAACCAGAGAAGAATGAGAGGACCCAGGGAGAGATGATTGATGGTATCAATGGTTTTGGGTAAGGCCAGGTGAGGAAGCAGGAAAGTTGGTGGGCTTGGAGACTTAACAAAGACAAGGTTAAAATAAAGTACAGGAAGCTTCTAGGGATAGCAGAGTCATCAAGATTGTATGTCATTGTTTTCACCTTCTTTTTTTTGGTTAATTCTCACCCGAGAATATCTTTTCCATTGATTTTTAGAGAGAGGAAGGGTGGAGTGGGGGAGAGAGAGAGAAAGAGAACATCAATGTGAGAGACATCGATTAGTTGCCTCCTGCACACACCCCAACTGGACCAGGGATTGAGAACCTGCAACCCAGGTATGTGTCCTTGACTGGGACTTGAACTTTGACCCTTCGGTGCGTGGGCCAACACTCTACCCACTGAGCACACTGTCTGGGTGTTTTCAACTTATTTTATGGTCCCATGCCAATTTAAGTTTGGGGAATCAGCATAAGACTTCACCAGGCAGGTGGAGGGGACATCCTTTGTCCTCATCGCTATTTGCCCCCTTGGACGGGGAAGCTTCCAAATTTTACTGGATTCATGTGAGAAGAAGCTTCATCTCTATCCTGGGGGATCCAGTGAGGGCAGGAGACACTGGAGAGACATGGGGAGCCTGCTTCCCAATGTCCTCGCGTTGCCTTGTCTCTCAAACGCACAGCACAGACATTCCTGAGCTAATTTCTTTCTTGAGGGAGGCCAGACGTTCTCCTTAAGCCTCTGGGTTTTCTCCAGGAATAGCAGAAACCCTGGGAGCCTTTGGAAGGAATTGCTGATAGGAACTGTGGAGAAGTGAAGTTAGAGCTTCAGGAACAAGGCCTCGCAGATGGCTTTCGTGGGGCTGCTTTGAGAGCGCGACCCATCTTGCATCTGGGAAACCTGTTGAGGCAGCAGCAGCAGTAGGATCTCAAGATTGACTGTCATTATGGACAAGTCTAGAATGACCAGGAAGGGCCACGACCATGGCCTTGATTTGACCACATCCTAATCATCAAGTTATTCTGAATTATACACTCATGTCTCCATTTCTTTGTGAAAAGAAGAAAGTTTAGATCTGTGTACTTCATTTCCCCCCTTTATTTTCCAGGACTGTGTGAAAGAAGCTACCTCTCAGAAGGGGGACAATCTACATGGTAAGGTGATCCTTAAAAGAGTGTTAAGCTCATATAGACATTCCTTTGAGTGCGTTATGCATCAAAGTGAGAAGTCAGAGCAAAAACGTCCCCTGGAGACCTAGCTTGTGTCAATGCGTACAACCTGTTCTTAGGGAACTCTTACCCCTTTTGAGAAGGTGTAGCACCAGCAAAGGTCCTGTACCCGGTGTGAGTGTCCCTGACCTTGTCTGCAATGTTACAAAGCTGGGCTTGCCTGCTGTACTGAGTTGGCGTCTCTGTCCTGCGCCTAGATGTAGCACCAGCCAATTTTTGACTCCTCCTAGGAAAGCAGAAATCCCTCCTTCACAGATAGCACTAACTTGCAGAATTCCATGATGCAGCTCAGTATCCTTGTACTGATTGCCATTAGTGATGTATACCACACTGCACACGCCAGTACATCCAGAGCTACCTCGTTCTATGTAGTAGATGCAATTTGGTCTGTAGGATGGACATATATAACTAATTTAACCATCTCTTTATTGATGTACTTTCCAGTTATTTCTGGGCCAGCTCTGTGAAAGAACTGAATATTCACAACAAAAAACCCCCAAAACACACACAAGCACACATAAAGAAAGAAAGGAAGAAAGAAAAAAGAGCTGAATATTCAGCATGGAATACAATAGATGAGCTCTCTGTCCCCCCCCCCCCAATTTCCCAAAATAATAATTAAAATGAAAATTTTAATAATGATAATAATTGCAGTTGACATGTGCTGAAAAATTACATGTAATATATATTAATCATTCAATCCTCATAGTATATAATATATAATCCTTGTACCAACCTTATAAAGAAGATATTATCATCATCCTCATGTTATAGATGAATGGACTTAGCCACAGATCTGTAACAGGCAGCAGTGGGGATTTAAAATTCTGTCGATGCCCTGCAGCCAAGACCCCGAGGGACATACCTGTTTCGAATAAAACTGGGTTTATTGACTGTGGCCACAAGGGAATAGCACATCACAAGAAACCAAGGGGTATTTCAGAATGTGGTGTTGGAAAGGACTTTTTAAAAAAAATGTTTTTATTGAATTTTAGAGAGAGAAAAGGAGAGGGAGAGAGAGAGAGAAACATCAATGATGAGAGAGAAACATTGATCAGCTGCCTCCTGTATGCGCCCTACTGGGGATCAAAACTGAAACCTGGGCATGTGCCCTGACTGGGAATCGAACCAGTGACCTCTTGGTGCATGGATGATGCTCAACCAACTGAGCCACACAGGCAGGCAGAAAGGACTTTTTATAGGATGTAGGCTAGTGAGAGGTGATTTGGGGGGAAGTAGTAACTTTCCGAAGGCAACTTTCCAAGGACGTGTAGTCACTGCATTTCAGCTGCTTTCTTTAAATGCCACATTCACTCCCTCCCAGATTTGTCATGCGGACATGGAGTGACAGTCCACCTGGATGGCGCCCTGGTTAACAGAGACCCAGTGAATATCCCTGGAGTTGCTGACTCTGCCATTTGCTCAGCACATAAGTGTGGTGTGGACCTTGGATCACAGGAGAAGTGGTGGGAACAGGGCATGTATGGAGAGAGAGTTTTGAAGCACAGGTTTTTACAGCAATTTATGGAGGTATAATTTACACAGAGTAAATAAACTCAATGACTTTTACATGTCTACACATACATGACCACCATCTAGATAAAGATATGGCACATTTCCATCTCCTTACAAGTTCTCACTGCCCCTCCTCTAAGGGAACCACTCTCCAGACTTTTACCAACATTGGTCAACCTTGTCTGTTCTTGAACTTTATATAATGTACTCATATTGCATGTAATTTTGTGTTTGGCTTTTTAAAATTAACATATTTTGGAGATCTAGCCATGTTGTATATCAGTAGCTCATTCTTTTCTTTTCTTTTTAAAAAAATTGCTGTTGTATTCTATTTTATGAATATACCATTCAGAGTTATTTTATTGTTATTATTATTTTAAAGAACAGTTTACTGATTTTTATTTTTATTTTTTTTATTTTTTTTTCTTAATATATTTTTTATTGATTAAGAAATTACATATGTGTCCTTGTCCCCACGTTACCCTCTACCCATCCCCCC